GATATTTCCCTTTTTCTTTTCTGGGTTAAGAGATGGTTGATTATGGTCATGCCTGGGATCTAAACAATCCCGTATTAAATTCCATAAATCATGTAACCTTTGTTCGACCTTCTGCCAAATTCCTATATTTACCGTCGCTTCCTCAGGGAACCATGGGCAGACTTCCTGCACAAAATTTAAAAAACGCTCTAGCTGTGAAGTTGTTACACGAGCCCCTTGCCTGCAGCATGTTCTTTAACATCTGCGCATACAGAGCGCTCTTTGGTCTCTAATTGCTCCATGTTTTACTCCTAATTAATACAAATGCCCCAAAACTTACTATTACTCGATTGATTGATTGATTGACTCAGCCGACTGTGACTCCGGGGTCCTCACGAAGCCCACCTTCAAGTCCCTGTTCGGGCGCCACTTGTTGAGGCCCGCTGCCAAGGGGTCCCGCAGGGTAGAGGTGGCGTGGGATGAAAGCACCAGAGACCAGGGCCTAGGAGGACTGGCACAAGGCACCAGCACCAGCACCTTTATTTTTTACACACACTGTTTTATACTAAGCGGTGGCTGGTCATGCTTCATAGATCACTGCTAGGGCTTGGCCTATCATAGGGAAGTAGCAGATCGTGACAAGCTGGGCAAGACTGGGCATGCTTTTGTTCCGGCCCTCCGGTCCAGTTTAAGAACCCATGTGGCCCTCGAGTCAAAAAGTTTGCCCACCCCTGGTCTAGATCCATCTATGTATGACAGTTGCTATGACAAAAGTCTGCTTGCCTAGATCACAAGAACTGGGGTGCAAGCCAAGGTCATGTCCTTTACATGACTTGGAGTGGGGTCAGGCCTTTCCTGGACCCTCACTGTCTCTTACACCAGCCCACCGGCAGCTTCCACAGGTCAGAGTAGCTAGAGGAGGCAACGGGGAGTGTCCCTACTGGGTGGTCACCTAGGACAGCGGGGAGCCACCCCGAAGACAGGCAGCTGGGGCCTGGGCGTGGCCCGCCAGCTACAGAGCAGAGAAGGTCAAAGCCATCTGTTACCAGCCGGGTTGGCCTGAGGGTCACAGGAGCCAGGAAGGAGCGGCCTCTTGGGTGAAGGCATCTGTCACATGGTCCTGGGTGCAGGTGGTCAGTTGTCCATTCCAGCCTCCCCCACCCCGTGTCTTCAGAGCACCCTGTGTCTGCACCACCATTTACTCAGCTGTCCTCTGGGCCACCACCCCACCCCACTCAGCCCCCTGCTACTTAGGGCACCCAAGTCCCTTAGATGCAGCTCACCTGGTCCCTCCCCACCTCAGAGGCCCTGCCCGGTGGCCTGGCGAGCTGGTGTGAGGGCAGGTCGTGCTCCCCCCTCTGCCTGTGCACTTGGAGGGGGACTGTTGCCAATTAAACGTTCCTGAGGAAGCTCAGTGGTGCTGCGCTGTGGTCTGGTGACCAGTGTCTCCGCCTTCGATTCATCCTGAGGCCAAGCTCTCCACACCTGTGTGGCCAGCGCTCCCACTATGCGAGTGGGCAGTGAGGCCCAGCCCAGTGCTCGCTGGCTCCACTCCCTCGGCCTTTGGGACTGGGGCCTGGCCTGTGGGCTCACCCCTGCCACAGCGGGCTGTTCAGCATTCGGCACGGCACCTGCTCTCCTCGCCACCCCATCTCAAATCTACCCCCTTTCTGAAGAAAACTGGGTTCCAGCCAGCTGCCTGGCCCCACTGGTGCCCGGACACTAGGCTGTGTGCCACCTTTGCACGGGGGTCTGTCTCCTGAACACTGCTGGGTGCCAGGCGCCTTACACAGCGTATCACAACAGCCTGATGCCAGGGGAGGAAACACCTGAGAGGGAGCCGGGCTGCTCAAGGCCACACAGCAGGGAGGGTGAGGGACTCCCGAGGCCCCGCAGGCCCTCCAGTAATGGGGCCACCGAGGGCAGGGCTGGTGGGTGCAGGCAGGTTCCCCCCTGCAGCAGTCCCCGGGTGAGTCAGCCAACACCTGCCTTGACTACACTCCCTCCCTCCTAGACACCGGCCTTGACCGTGTCCTTGGACAGAGAACTTGCCGTGTTCTTGCCGGGACTGTCCTATTACCAGAACACGTAGGTGGACCATCCTGTCCTGGCCTGCGCGTCATACTGACCAAGTGTTTGCTTACCTCTGCGCTCAGAGGTACGCCCTTCCCCCTTCTCTGCCTGGCTAACTGCGTCTGACACCAGTTCCTCAGGAAGCTCTCCCTGCCTGATCACCGGCTGCTTTTAGGTGTCTCTTGCCCAGCTCCCCACTAACTGCGCCATCAGAGTCAGGCTGCACTTGAAATGTCAGAGGGGAGAGGAAAGGCGGTCACCCAGGGCCCCTCAGTGTGTCCTGGCCCGTGCGGGGGTGGTTGGCACAACTCCGTCTGAGGCTGCAGGCGCCGGAGGCCTGTGCCAGAAGCCTCGCTCTCGCTCTGGCTCTGAAGCGCTGTCCTGGACACGTGCTCCCTCTGGCCGCGCAGCCACTGTCCCCTCACTCAGATGTCCACTGCCGTGCAGGAGGCTCCCTGTGCTTGTCCCTCAGGTGCAGCTCAGCTGGTCTCCCCACAACACGGCACTGAGACCCATGGAGGTGAGGGGACGCCGACAGCCAGAGCTCCCCTGGAAGCAGTCCTCGCCCACCAGGGGCCAGAACCACCCTGTCACCAGACCCCTGCTGGGCCGGCCGCCTCGTCCATCCTGATCCTGGGGTCTCCTGGGGAACTTGAAGGACGCACAGGTTTTAGCAACAGGAAGTCGGGACAGGCTGCTTTGTAACACACTCCGTGTGGCCTTGGGCGAGTCACATTCCCCTCGTCTATGCCCCCGTTTTGCCTCCTCACAAAACGGTTGGTGGCACCTCTCACCAGGTGTTACCAGGCAGCCCCTGAGTCCGTGGGAGGGGCTGTCCCCAACCTCGATCTCGTCTTCTCATATAAATGAATTTATAAGAGATCTTGACTGCGTTGTGTAAAGCCAATTTATTAAAGCAATGAAAGCATGCACCTGCATTAAAGAAGCAAACCTATATATATATTTGTCTTATGAAGCGCAGGCGAGCTCTCAGTTAATCGGAAGATCAGGTTGGGTGGGGGTCCGAGGTATTACTATACACCCTCCCATCTGCAGGTTTCAGAATTCCTCTGCTGACTATTTTGGTACAAATTAATTCTCAAGGTCCCTTTTTACATTGCTGTGGCCTTCCCAGAATTCACGAGAAGCACCTGGCAACTGTGTCTCGAAGAGCCTTGCTGCTTCTCTGCTTAGGGAGTAAAGCTGCCCCTCTCATCTTCCCCCTCCCCTCCTTTCCTGCATTCTCTCATTAGGGAGGCTTTTAACCATTTGCCCTCTTGTCCTTGGCTGAGGAAGATAATGGTTTGTTAGTTACAAGCTGGCTGCCAATAGTTTTGCCTCGTTTTAACTTTTCTGTCTGTTTCCCTATTCCACTTGCCCTGGAATTTTCCTAGCTCCTTACTGCCCTGTAACAAAATGAAGACCGTGGGTAGAGTGAGCCCAGGTTGGCTGGTAGACTGGCACCTGTCACTACACAGCCCCACCTTGGACCATCCCATGCACAAAAAGAGGACCTTTGCTTGCATTCTCCACTGGAAGTGGTGAGAGTCCAGACCAGGACTGTTAAGGGGGGACAGGTGGACGGGCTGCTGGTTCCTGGGAGCCTGTGTCTGTGCCTCGGGGCTTCCTGCACTGTGGGCCTCCCCTTCTACACCCCCAGCAGACTCAAGGGCCAACCGCGGAGCAGCCACGGCTCGGTGGCTGGCGCAGCACACCCAGGGTCCTGAAGCGAGGCCCCTGTCCTGCTCAAACTCCACACAACACAGCCACACAGGCGGGACCAGAGATTTATTTAGGCCAACAAGTGACAAGAGGGCAGAGCATTCAGGAGTGGACCCTGCACCCCCACAAGGGCTTTCCCATACTACACGGGGCACAAGACTGAACGGCTCCCTTGGGGCCTGGAGGCTGCTGTGTGCTCTCCACCGCCCAGGACGCCCGGGGCACCATGCCAGCCAAGTGTCAGGACAAAGGTGTCTGCAAAGGCCGCAGACTCCCCGCAGCAGCCGGCAGGGGGCCCAGCGCTGGTTCTCAGGGTGGAGAGCCTGTGCCCAGGGCCAGCTGCTGGAAGCGGTGTGGGGAGGCTCAGAAGGCAGAGACTGCCAGGGAACACGTGGGGCTGGAGTTCACGTGTGGAGTTTCTCCCGCAGACTCACCTAATAAAAGTGGCCTCCTTGGGCGATATTCAGTATGAAAAGCAGCTTCAAGCTGGGCGATCTCTCCGTTAAATGCACAGCTGGCAATTCTTTTTGTTTTGGGGGATGGGCTGTGCCCATTAAACTCCTGAAATGTACATGCAGACTACAGGCTCCCTTACCAGCGGCTTGGAGGGTGTATGTGGAGCCGAAGGGTGTTTTCCAGTGGAAGTGCTCCCCGTGGCCGGCTCCGGGCGGCCGGGGTGCCTTGTGGGAGAGAACCAACCGACTCCTGTCTGCCCAGCCCTGGTGCCCGGGGCGCAGGCAGCACACAGGGTTTGGCCCCGATGGAAAGGATGGCCCAGGGAGAAACAGTCCTGACAGGCACAGGGTTACCGACACCAGGACCAGGAAGCTGTGACGGCCTAAGTACAGCAGTGATTCGATTGGGCTGGGGCTCTGGGTAATTTTGCTTCTTTACGTACAGGGACAAATGGGCGTTACTGAAAGTCGTAGGACAGCTTCCGGGGGGTCATGAACTCTTTGACGATCTCCTCCGTGACCTCCTTGCGCCGGGCCTGGTGCTCCGCGATCAGGGGCTGCAGGACCTCCACGAGCTCCTTCTTGAGCTCCCCGGTGAGCATGGCTCCGCTGGTGTAGTCCTGCGGGGAGACACCGTGAGAACAGCTCCGCCCCACGGCCTCGCTGGGGACAAAACCCCACCCATTACACTTCCCTTCTGAGTGCTCGCGCTCCTGCCCTCTCATAGCGAGAGGGTTGAGGGGAGGCCTCACCAGCCTGCGCTGCAACTGAACTCCAAACACAGGGGATGAACGACAGCTCCGCCAGCCCTACCGGCTTCTGTAAAGTCTTCGCTGAATCCCAAGCCCCAGAGCAGCAAGGCCAGGGCCATGGCTAACGTTTGGGCATCGCTTAGGTTTTTTGCGGTGCACGGACCTCGCTGCGCGTGTGCGGACCTCAATGCGTGTGCACAGACCTCGCTAAATGTGCACTGAGCTCGCTGGTGTCTGCCTGACCTCGCTGCGTGTGCACTGATCTCGCTGGTGTCTGTCTGACCTCGCTGCATGTGCATGGACCTCGCTGTGTGTGCACTGATCTCGTTGGTGTCTGCCTGACCTCACTGCGCGTGCACTGACCTCACTGCGCGTGCACTGACCTCACTGCATGTGCACTAACCTCGCTGCATGTGCACTGATCTCGCCGGTGTCTGCCTGATCGCTCCCGCAGGCCCACTGTCCTGCCATGGAAACCCTCCGCCCGCAGCACCCACCCCGGGATACTTCCTAGGTGACCCGCCTCTGCTGTGTGGCCGGTCCTCACTTGTGCTGTGACCACTTTGAACGCTGTTATGAGGGGCTCTTTCTCTAGCAGGGGTGCTTCCTTGGAAAAGGTCCTGGGAACTGGAAAACCGAGCACAGCTGTGGACATT